ATGCAGCTTCTGCTGAAACATGTAGGAAATGGAAAAAAACTTGCAGAATAATTGTATTAAAAATGGTTGTTTTAGAGTAGTTGAATTAAAAAATGCTATTTTAATTTGTAGTGATGGGTTAATCATACAATTAGTTTAACCATTTGTGAGTTAACCACATGTAAAGCAGCCCAACCTACTTGAAAACAAAGGACAAGGGTTGTGTTGCTCTCAAATTAATTGAAAGGAAATGCAGCTTCATTTCCAAGTTCCTTGTTCCTACCAAAATGTCCTGCAGCACAGCAACAGGAAAGGTACAGACCACTAGAACTGAAAAGGTTAGAGGAGATGCAACAATTACTACTTCTCTTTGTGTTCCCCACACAGACTCACTATGTGATATCTGAAGGGCAGCCTGAACTGGATGTCAAACAAAACTCTTCGCTCTCCAGCGAGGTCGTGGTTGGGGTTTCCCAGCCTCCAGCCCCCTCGGATACCCTGGAATCCCAAACCAGCAGCCAGCAGCAAACCACCCAGTACATCATCACCACAGCCCCCAGCAGCAGTGAGGTGCACATCACCAAGCCCAGAACTTTCTCAGCAGAACATGAATGAAGAAGCCCCGTGGTGCCACTGGCTTCTGCTTGTCACCTCCCCTGAAAACCCAGATGTCTGGGTATCCTGGAGCTCAATATGTTTTATTAAAGTATTTGCTCATTTAACTTCAACTTGGAGCTCTTGTTAATGCTTTAAGAGGGTTTAAGTCCCTGGTGACCATGAAGAAGTACCCTCCCAATCCTTCTGGGATGCCATTTTATGCAGCTTTTAACAAAAAGGACAAGAGGAGAAGTGAAACCTCTGCTTGCTCTGGACTTTATTTTTGGCATGTCTTCTGACCCTTATTTTTCCTGTTTGGAAGTGACTCCAGTAAAATAACTTGTATTTCAATTGTATGGGGGGAAAAGCTTGCCTAGCTGAAGGCCAACTGTCAGATGATGCTGTATGTATATTTTTAATAAGAGCTGTTAAACAGGAAGACATCATGTAAATGGTCAGAATGTGGCAGATCTGCTGCCTGTCTCTTTGCTTCAGCAGCCAAGGTGAAAGGGAACACCCCAGCTTGCTGTGAGCAGACTGCCTGGAGATAAAAGAGCAGCAGCAAAGCTCTTTGTGTATGTGTGCAGGGATGGATGTAACAATGAAGCTGTGAAGATGTGCTGAAGCAGTGCATTAAATTATTATTATTTTTCCAGTCCTCCAGAACTGTTTACATGCTGTCTGCCCTGCCCTCTTGTACCGAGCAGTTCCAGCAAGAAGGGAAAGTGCAGTCTTAAAATCACGTTGTGTGGAACAAACTGATGAAAACCATAGTAGCAGATAAAGGTAGTATGGAGCACCTGGTAGCTCTTTTCCCCTTCATTACTTGCAGAAAAACAAATAAATAATAAAATCACTTCTTTGCCTGGGAATGAAAAGAGGCTCAGCTTAGCCTGCATAGCAGCTTCTGCTGTGACCTACAGGTAGCTGTGTCAGGAGAAAATGAAGGTCCAGGAACACACCTCTGAAGATGTGGGATAGTGGTCTCTGTTCCCACCTCAAAGTGGACGTGTTTTTCCCCTTGAAGACTGGATGGAGAATTGTTTACTCTGATTTTTCCAAATCATCCTGTTGATAATGCATTCTAATTCCTTTGGACAATTCCATAAAATGACCAGCCCTGGACTCAGGAAACACACAAGAAACATGCTAGTGGACCACTATTCATGGGACACAGAAAGCCATCTCTGAGGGTTGCCTGTGCCTGGTCTGTGTACAGAATTTATCTTGCATTTTGGGAACAGCAGAAAGGGAAAAAAGGTTTATCTTGAAAGGCAGTGTATTGTTTTAGTTCTAATATAATTCTTCTTCACGGGTCTTGTTGGTTATTTAATGCATTCTGGTATTTGTTTATGACTGCAACTGCCCTGTCTCCTGATGGGATGTTTTGTGTATGTCTAAACCTCATTTCACTGCCTGAAAACTCATCCCTGAATGTCTGTGTGTAACACGATACATTTATTTATAAAACTAAACCTAAGGAGGGTGTTTTTGTTGGCCCTTGAGACTGAAGAACTCGGAGAGGTTATTTGGGTTTGTTCTCTTGTGTTGCATAGGGGGTGAACCCAGGACCCATTTCCATATGTACCCCCCAGATTGAGATGAGGATTTCCAGTGTGGGTAAGTGCTATGGGTGTTTACAGGTTGTGGCATCAGGCCTCATGCAGTGAAAGCTGTAAGAGAACTTCATACTCTGACTGGACATGAAGTTCCTTACAGAGAAAGGTATTGCTTTGCTAATTAACATTAATAAGGTGTGGAAATAGTGTCTGTGCATGATGAGATATTATCAGATGGAAAATAATTACCAGCTCAGAACTGTTCTGAGGTGGCTCTGAAGTGACTTGCTAAAATGTGGATTAATTTGTGCCTGGGATTTGGCTTTTCTTGCTGTACCACCGTGCTGGGGCATTAAAGAGATGAGTGAAATTAATGAGAACCCTGTTTCATCAAGTGCAGTGATGAGCATCTTAACGTTCAGTGGATTTGGGAGCCCACTGATTTCAGCAGTGGATACTGCTCTACAGAAGCCATTTTAAAGTCTTTAAAGCTCTGTTTAAAGGCACAGCTGACTCTTTTTCCCTTAAATGATACTGCAGATGTGGGGTTTAAAAAAATATTTTGCTCCATTCACCTTTGCTGGAAAGGAACATGGACTTGAGGAGACCTGTACCAGTTACCTAGAGTTGAGAACTACAAGGTGGTCTAGAAAACTATTGTAAAACATTCTCCTTGAACTCAATGTGACACCAGTGTTCTCAGTACCTGCTTTAGGGTGTCCCCAGTTTAATAAATGCCTCTGGAGAGAAGCATCACTGGAAACTGCAGCATCATGAATTCTCCTTCCCATGTAGGGAGCCACAGTGAGGGCATGGCCAGCAAAATAGACAGTAGTTTGCATTGATTTCCCCCCGCCCCCAATTTCTGCAGTGCAGAAGGTACAGGATGAATTATTTTTTAAACCAGAGCAACCCAAGGCTGTCCATGTCCCCCAGGAGCTGAACTCTGGAGCCTTGGCAGCAGCTGGGTGTCCCTGTGCTCTCCTCCGTGCCCAGTGCTGCTCCTTGTAGGTGTTTTTGGTCCAACTCTCCATCTTCCTGGTGAAATCCATGAGTACAAAGCCCCCTGACCCTGCACCCCTTGGCCTGCTCGGCCTTGTCACTTAACTCTGTCTGCTGGTTGTACCCTCGGTGACTGTTCCCGTGCTCATAGTCTTGTCTGGCCTGGCAGAAAACAAACAAAAACCTCTCACATCAATAAATCTTCTTCTGTTTGCGTTTTTTTTATTATTATTTATTTTATTGTTTTCAGGGGTGGGGGGGAGGCAGGGCTGGGCTGGTGAGGGAACCTCTGACAAGGCCCAGCTCATAGTCTTGTCTGGCCTGGCAGAAAAGAAACAAAAACCTCTCACATCAATAAATCTTCTTCTGTTTGCGTTTTTTTTATTATTATTTATTTTATTGTTTTCAACGGTGGGGGGGGAGGCAGGGCTGGGCTGGTGAGGGAACCTCTGACAAGGCCCAGGGCCTGTGTCCTTCTGTCCCCCCATCCCCGTGTCCTTCTGTCCCCCCATCCCCGTGTCCTTCTGTCCCCCCATCCCCGTGTCCTTCTCTATCCATCCCCGTGTCCTTCTGTCCCCCCATCCCCGTGTCCTTCTCTATCCATCCCCGTGTCCTTCTGTCCCCCCATCCCCGTGTCCTTCTCTATCCATCCCCGTGTCCTTCTGTCCCCCCATCCCCGTGTCCTTCTCTATCCATCCCCGTGTCCTTCTGTCCCCCCATCCCCGTGTCCTTCTCTATCCATCCCCGTGTCCTTCTGTCCCCCCATCCCCGTGTCCTTCTCTATCCATCCCCGTGTCCTTCTGTCCCCCCATCCCCGTGTCCTTCTCTATCCATCCCCGTGTCCTTCTGTCCCCCCATCCCCGTGTCCTTCTCTATCCATCCCCGTGTCCTTCTGTCCCCCCATCCCCGTGTCCTTCTCTATCCATCCCCGTGTCCTTCTGTCCCCCCATCCCCGTGTCCTTCTCTATCCATCCCCGTGTCCTTCTGTCCCCCCATCCCCGTGTCCTTCTCTATCCATCCCCGTGTCCTTCTGTCCCCCCATCCCCGTGTCCTTCTCTATCCATCCCCGTGTCCTTCTGTCCCCCCATCCCCGTGTCCTTCTCTATCCATCCCCGTGTCCTTCTGTCCCCCCATCCCCGTGTCCTTCTCTATCCATCCCCGTGTCCTTCTGTCCCCCCATCCCCGTGTCCTTCTCTATCCATCCCCGTGTCCTTCTGTCCCCCCATCCCCGTGTCCTTCTCTATCCATCCCCGTGTCCTTCTGTCCCCCCATCCCCGTGTCCTTCTCTATCCATCCCCGTGTCCTTCTGTCCCCCCATCCCCGTGTCCTTCTCTATCCATCCCCGTGTCCTTCTGTCCCCCCATCCCCGTGTCCTTCTCTATCCATCCCCGTGTCCTTCTGTCCCCCCATCCCCGTGTCCTTCTCTATCCATCCCCGTGTCCTTCTGTCCCCCCATCCCCGTGTCCTTCTCTATCCATCCCCGTGTCCTTCTGTCCCCCCATCCCCGTGTCCTTCTCTATCCATCCCCGTGTCCTTCTGTCCCCCCATCCCCGTGTCCTTCTCTATCCATCCCCGTGTCCTTCTGTCCCCCCATCCCCGTGTCCTTCTCTATCCATCCCCGTGTCCTGGAGCAGCCTGGGCTGCTGGGAGGTGTCCCTGCCTGTGCAGGGGGTTGGATCTGGGTGATCTTTAAGGTCCCTTCCAACCCAAACCGTTTTGTGACTCTGTGATGTAAACAACCCCTCCCAACACGGCTTTTCAGCCCTTCCTCAGCTTGGGACACACACACACACACACAACGACCTGGATTTGGGATTTTTTCAGGTGAAGGTTTTGCTGCCGTCGCCCGGGAGCAGGTGAAGGATGGACTCCCTGGATCAGATGCTGAGCGACCCCCTGGAGCTGGGGCCCTGCGGGGACGGCGCGCGGATCATGGAGGACTGCATGCTGGGCAGCACCCGGGTCAGCCTGCCCGAGGACCTGCTGGAGGACGTGAGTCCTGCTGGGATTTGCCTTCCCATGGCCCTGGCAGAACCTCTGTGTGACTCCCTTTGTGGGCACACTGAAATGAGGGGACGTGTTTCTGGCTGTCCTAGAAAAAGCAAATCCAAAAGGGCTTTGATTAATGTCAGGAAAACTTATTTTAAAACTTATCGTCACGTTCTTTTTCTAGATAACAATTTATCTTATTTAAAGAATGGCTTTAAGGCAGTTTTGTTTGTTTCAAGTTTGGAATTGACAAGCATCAGTCTTTTCCTCGTTACCTCTTTCCACTCGTGTTTTCTGCACGTGGTGTGAGTCCCGCTCACCCACGGAAAGCCTTTGGGGCTGGAAAACAGCCAAGGACACGGACGCGTTTTCTTCACTGCTCTTCTTTGCAGCCTGAGATCTTCTTCGACGTCGTCAGCTTGTCCACGTGGCAGGAGGTGCTGACAGAAGCTCAGCAAGACCACCTGAAAAAATTCCTGCCTCACTTCCCTGACAACAACCGGGAGCACCAGAACAAGCTCATCTCCGCCTTGTTCAGCGGCGAGAACTTCCGATTTGGGAACCCCCTGCACATCGCCCAGAAGCTTTTCCGAGGTCGGTGCCTTTTCAGGGTAAAGTTCTCCACTAGCAGTGGCTGGGAACTGGAAGTGTTTTTCTTACCTCTTTCTCCCAGATGGGCACTTCAACCCCGAGGTGGTGAAGTACCGGCAGCTGTGCTTGAAGTCGCAGTACAAGCGCTACCTGAGCTCCCAGCAGCAGTACTTCTACCGCCTGCTCAAGCAGATCCTCGCCTCCCGCAACGTGAGTGCCACTGCTGCCTCCTCTGCTGGAACTGCAGCAAAGGGGCTGGGTGTTCTTGCATTCGGAGTTCCCAGAGGTCTTCCCTCAGGTGGATGCCGGGTTTCTGGTTTTCTCGGGAAGCCTGTAACACACTAGAATCATAGAATCAGTAAGGTTGGAAAAGACCGGTCCAACTGTCCACCCTGCAACCCCCAGCCACTAACCCATCTCCTGAAACCCCCTATCAACCCTGCAAACCCCCGTCCACCCTGCAACCCCTAACCCCTCAGTTCAAGAAGGACAGGGAACTGCTGGAAAGAGTCCAGCGCAGAGCTACAAAGATGATTAAGGGAGTGGAACATCTACCTGATGAGGAAAGGCTGAGGGAGCTGGGTCTGTTGGGCTTGGAGAAAAGGAGACTGAGGGGTGACCTCATCAATGTTTACAAATATGTAAGGGGTGAGTGTCAGGGAGATGGAGTTAGGCTTTTCTCAGTGATGACCAGTGATAGGACAAGGGGTAATGGGTGCAAATTGGAGCATAGGAGGTTCAAGGTGAATATCTGAAAAAGAATTTTTCCTGTGAGAGTGACAGAGCCCTGGAACAGACTGCCCAGAGAGGCTGTGGAGTCTCCTTCATTGGAGACATTCAAAACCCACCTGGATGCCTTCCTGTGTGATGTGCTCTGGGTGACCCTGCTCTGGCAGAGGGGTTGGACTAGATGATCTTTCAAGGTCCCTTCCAACCCCTAGGATTCTATGATTCTATCTCCTGAAGTACCACATCCACCCATTTTTTTAACAACTCCAGGGACAGTACCTCTAGCACCTCCCTGGGCAGCCTGTTCCAATGTCTCAGCACTCTTTCTGTGAAGTTGTTTCTAATATCCAGCCTGAACCTCCCCTGGTGCAACTTTACTCCATTTCCTCATGTACTATTGCTGGTCACTAGGGGGAAGAGCCCAACACCCACCTCACCACGTCCTCCTTCCAGGTAGTTGTAGAGAGCAACGAGGTCTCCCCTCAGCCTCCTCTACTCCAGGCTGTACAGCCCCTCCTCATTAAGACCTGTAGAAACATTGTTATTTTGGCAAATTTCAGGTTTTGAAGCTCTTACAGCTCTCACTTGTGTATAGTGTCTTTTTTCCCTGCCACATTGTCCCCCACATCCTGCATTTGCTCCCTTAAACCTTAATGTCCTGTTAACAAGTCACTCTGCCTTCATTTTCTACTGTTTCTGTAAGTTTTCTAAACAAGTAGGTGTATGAAGTCTTCATAAAACACCCCACAGTGATATGGGAAAAAGAACACAGAAGTGTGTAGGAAGTTACTTGTTCTGTAGCCACGAGGGTTAAAAGGTGTTCTTGGCAAGAGACAAATGCTCCATGTCTGTGTTAAGAATTTGGCATGGAAGCTGCACCTGTGGGTCTCACACCAATGGCTGGGTTCCTCTCAACAACAGTCCATTGCAAATAGCAGGGAGGTGGTGGTGTGTGTGCAGATGAGGGTGTAAAAATTTCCCTTTGCTCTTTCCCCCCCTTTAGATGATGGTCTGAAATGCTGGTTTTAAATTATCATACTCGGCAGGTGCCGATACTTTCTGATCACGACATAAAGAGCTGAGGTGCTTGCTGCACCCACGCCAGACATTGAGCTTGCCAACAGTGTGTGAGCTGAGCTGAGCTGTGGCAGCTTTCAGTTCATGTCAAGTGTATCTCATCTTCCAGCACTTGCTGGAGTTGGCTCGGAAAGGAGGCCCTGACATGACCCTGCGGAGGAGGCACTTCCCACCCACCTATGACACGGAGGAACGGGACAGGCGGACACATCGACGCTACTTGAAGATCCTGAGGGAAGTGAAAGAGGAGTGTGGAGATACCACCGTGTCTTCTGATGAGGAAGGTAATGCCCTGAGACAAGCTACAGGTCTGAGGTGTGAACAGAGAAAGAGAAATTTTGGTCTGGGGACAGTAGCTTTGACAGAAGAATGGAGCCTGCTCTGCAGTTTTATTGACTGTGCTCTAATGAACACGGGTGGACAGAATGATGTGTTTGGTGTTAGGCCTTGCATAAGTTAATGTAGTTATTTTTTATTTTAGATCAAAGCTCCTGGTTTCCAAGTTCTCCTGCACGTTGTTCAAGTCCACCAGTTCCCCTGCGAGTGATCCCTACATTGTCCACCTTGGATATGAGAACAGCAGGTGAGAACCAAACTGGGGGTCAGTGTGGATATAGGGGTGAGAATTACTTTGAGACCCTGCAAGAAATTAATTTGAAAATCTGTTGCTTTATGAGAATGCTTCATTTTTGCAGGCTCCAAAAGAGTTGGCTCTTCTCCCAGTTTACTTAGTATTTTTCTTACTGGAAGGTTAGGATTTGAACAAAAGGTTCAACAGTTTGTGGAACACTAGTGATTTCTCTGATGTATTTTGACTTTAACAGTTGAAGCATTAGCTTTGTTCGCAACATTTTGGTGTGTGTGCTGAGGGAC